ATGATTAATCTAAAACTTATAAAAAATTTGAAAGAAAAAGGGATTATTAAAGAATAGATAATTCAGTTATACACTTAAGCATCTATTTTTATTTTTATTATCACACTGGCCAATTCCCACCAAGGCAGGGTGGCCTGAAAAAGAAAAACTTTCACCATCATTCACTCCATCACTGTCTTGCCAGAAGGGTGCTTTACACTACAGTTTTTAAACTGCAACATTAACACCCCTCCTTCAGAGTGCAGGCACTGTACTTCCCATCTCCAGGACTCAAGTCCGGCCTGCCGGTTTCCCTGAAACCCTTCATAAATGTTACTTTGCTCACACTCCAACAGCACGTCAAGTATTAAAAAGCACCTTAATTATTTTAACAAGTGAGTTTATGAACTACAGTAGATATTTACAGCTAAAATAAAGGAGCTAATGAATATAATAATAAAAGAATGTATTAAAAGCAAAAATCAGTAGCACCTGAGGTAGTCAGTAGCACCTGGAGTATTTTAATAAATGTGACTATATGGACAAGAGGAGAAAAAAAAATAAATAAATGAGCTTGGGAATACAGTATAATGGCAAAATAGTGAACTTATTACACTTTAGCCCCTGAGAATAGCACTTTGATTATTTTAACAATTGTGAATATATGAACTAAGGTAGTTATATAAAGCTAAAATAAAGGAGAAAATATATAAGGGACTAAATTAAGTAATGGTAAACAAAGTTAATTGGACAGATAGTCATTATGATATAATACATGTATTGATTTGGGAGTAAGATCAGATTTGTAATGTATAATAAGTTGAGCAATTAATTGCACTATAAAAAGTAGAGAAATATGAGGTAGCTGGTACTAGTTAGCAAAAGATAGTTTTGGGATTCACACAATAATGTAATTGGAATATACACTAATTGCACACAATATAAAAGGACTAAAAGTAGTGGTAAACAGAATTAAATGGACAGGTAGCAACCATGAATAACATTAATTTTGAGTAAGATTTGACTTGCAACACAAAATTATGAGCAATTAATAGCAAATAAAAAGTAAAAAGTATTTGAGGTAGCTGGTATTAGCTAGTAAAAGAAAAAAAAAATAATGCACAGTAATGTAATAGTAACGTACACTATATGCACCACACATATATGTGTGTTAAGGACACTTATCTAATCTATTACAGAAATGTCAGCTTTTCTAAGGAAGGTAGAGAAATCATGTTCATTTGAGTAAATGAGTAAATGAGAGAGAGAGGACAAAGATGCAGAGGTTGTAAACAAACACACGTTTGTATTATGATGATAATAATAATAATAATGATAGTAATAATAATAATAATAATAATAATAAAATAAATATAATATTGTTTAGCTTCCAACACAATGCAAGGTTTCTCTCTCTCTTTACTCCCAGTTACCCCCAGTAATATTATTGTGTACACATTTTCTTTGGTGTTGAACTAGAGAAAAAACATCATTCTTTCCGACACTCTGACGACTGGGAAAAACATTTCATATTCCTGTTAATTTATTCTATTGTGGGGTGTATCTATCATGTTTATGTGTTACGTAGCATGTTTATATAATTTTGGAAAAATATAATAGATGGATTATCAAAAATGTTTATATTAATGTAATATATGACATTTAATGTGCCTCAGGGTGATTATTATTGCATATTATTATTATCATTATTAATATGGCAGCACAGTATGTAAGTTTATTCAGGTACAGGTACACATAACTACAGGTCTCCCTCAACATTCGCGAGGGTTAGGGGATCAAGAGCCTCGCAAATGTTGAAAAACCGTGAATGTTTGGTGCCCCAATATATTGTAGGGAAATATATTACAATACTGCTTCCTTAACTTGTTGAACCATGAATAATCATAAAATACAGTGGACCCCCGCATACCGATGGCATCACATAACGATTAATCCGCATACCGCTTGCTTTAATAGCAAAAATTTTGCCTCGCATACCGCTTAAAAACCCGCTCACCGATTTTCGTCCGAGACGCGTCCAATGTGCGCCTTCAGCCAGCCTCACATGTGCCGCCGGTGGCATTGTTTACCAGCCAGCCTCCGCGGTAACATCCAAGCATACAATCGGAATATTTCGTATTATTACAGTGTTTTCGATGCTTTTTCTGGAAAATAAGTGACCATGGGCCCCAAGAAAGCTTCTAGTGCCAACCCTACAGCAATAAGGGTGAGAATTACAATAGAGATGAAGAAAAAGATCATTGATAAGTATGAAAGTGGAGTGCGTGTCTCCGAGCTGGCCAGGTTGTATAATAAACCCCAATCAACCATCGCTACTATTGGTGGTACAGCTGCTGCTGCTGCTGCTGCACTGTCAGCTGCTGCTGCTGCTGTAGCATCGTCTGCTGCTGCTGTAACATCGTCTGTTGCTGCTGTAGCATCGTCTGTTGCTGCTGTACCACCGTCAGCTGCTGCTGCTGCTGTAGCATCGTCTGCTGCTGCTGTAGCATCGTCGCTGCTGCTGTAACATCGTCTGTTGCTGCTGTAGCATCGTCTGCTGCTGCTGTACATCGTCTGTTGCTGCTGTACACGTCATCTCGTGCATGTCTGCTGCTGCTGTAGCATCGTTGCTGCTGCTGCTGCTGTAGCATCGTCAGCTGCTGCTGTAGCATCGTCTGCTGCTGCTGTAACATCTGTGCTGCTTACAGTCTGCTCTGCGTAGCATCGTCTGCTGCTGCTGTGCATGTCGCTCGCTGTAGCATCGTCTGCTGCTGCTGTACCATCGCTGTTGCTGCTGACACGTCAGCTGCGCTGCTGCTGTACCACCGTTGTTGGTGTGGCTTATTGAGAATACCAAGAAACAATTAACCCCAGAGGATTTGCCACCCAGGATAACCCAAAAAAGTCAGTGTCATCGAAGACTGTCTAACTTATTTCCATTGGGGTCCTTAATCTTGTCTCCCAGGATGCAACCCACACAAGTCGACTAACACCCAGGTGAACAGGGAAAAATGCCTGGAACTAGTGCTCATATTGGTGAATTTAAAGCCAGCAAAGGTTGGTTTGAGAGATTTAAGAATCGTAGTGGCATACACAGTGTGATAAGGCCTGTTCTGGAAGAAAATGCCAAACAGGACCTACAGTACTCAGGAGGAAAAGGCACTCCCAGGACACAGTGTCTCATCAGTCATTGCTGCATCTTCAATAAAGGTAAGTGTCATTTATTCTTCATTTAGTAGACTAGTACATGCACAATATATACTGTGCATGTACTACTCTACTATTGTGCATGTATCCTTCTCTTTGTGTGTAGGAAAATGTATATTTCATGTGGTAAAATTTTTTTTTCATACTTTTGGGTGTCTTGCACGGATTAATTTGATTTCCATTATTTCTTATGGGGAAAATTCATTCGCATACCGATTATTTCGCATAACAATGACCCCTCTTGCACGGATTAAAATCGGTATGCAGGGGGCCACTGTACATGAAAACGTCGTAAATTGTACTAAATATATACATGTTATGCTTTAATAACGTATGTTATTTAATAACATGTACGTTAATACTCCACCACTGCCTCCACCACTGCGAGTCCCTACTACCTTCCCTCCGACCCCCGCAACTGGCAGCCAGCCCTCCCACCACTCAGTGTGGTGAGTGTTTTGTTTGTTCATTATTTGCTATTAAACTACAGAATAAATAATGTAAACCCATTCATGACTGCATATTGGAATGGCTATTAGGAAAGGTATTAGACAGTGACATCATGTGTTTACTCTTGAACACAGCAAAGAATCAAGCATTTCTGCTATTGCTAATAATACAATAGTAGTAGTAATAATAATAATAATAATAATAATAAATATGATATAATTGAAGAAGGAAATTGTACAAAAATACGAGGGAGTGGTTGACACATCGTCAGTGTGACTTTGTTTATGCTGGAGTGAACATTCCCCTCATGGAAGGTTCCTTGATGTTGGTGAGGGGCTCTTGATTTAGGGAATTGGATCTGTGCTCCAGTTCCCCGAATTAAGCCTGAATGCCTTCCACATCCCCCCCCCCCAGGCGCTGTATAATCCTCCGGGTTTAGCGCTTCCCCCTTGATTATAATAATAATAATGGAGTGAACATTAGTCTCCCTGCTCTTCCAAACATTTCACAATAATTCAGCGGTTGAGGCAGTGGTATTTAATAACATATATGTTATAAATAATAATAGTACATGTTATTATTAAAAACATGTATTATTATTAACATGTATGTATTTAATAACATATATGTTATAAATAATAATAGTACATATTATTAATAACATGTATTATTATTAACATGTATGTTATTAAATACCATTGCCTCAATCACTGCCTCTACCACTCCAGTCACACTCAATCTACAAGCACCAAACACAATGAATTATTGTGAAATGTTTGGAAGAGCAGGGAGACTAATGTTCACTCCTGCATAAACAAAGTCACACTGACGATGTGTCAACCACTCCCTCGTATTTTTGTACAATTTCCTTCTTCAATTATATCATATTTATTATTATTATTATTATTATTATTATTATTATTACTATTGTTATTATTAGCTGTAGCAGAAATGTTTAATTCTTTGCAGTGTTCAAGAGTAAACACATGATGTCACCGTCTAATACCTGTCCGAATAGCCATTCCAATATGCAGTCATGAATGGGTTTACATTATTTATACTGTAGTTTAATAGCAAATAATGAACAAACAAAACACTCACCACACTGAGTGGTGGGAGGGCTGGCTGCCAGTTGCGGGGGTCGGAGGGAGGGTAGTAGGGACTCGCAGGTGGCGGGAAACTTAAATATGATTTGCCGGCTGGGAATTTGGTGGCTGGGAATTTGGCGGTTGGGAATTCGCGAATGTGTGAAGCCCGTGAAAGTTGAAAACGTGAATGTTGAAGGAGACCTGTATAATTATCAGAGTATATATAAAACATGAAATAACTAAAACACTTGAAATTTTGGAAGGTTTCCAGACATAATGGAGAAACACGGTGCTCACGGAGAATATAAACAGACCAGGTGGAATGCGGTGACCATGTTAGAAAGTCAGGTAGGGGGAGCCGCATAGCGAGTTTTGGTCATAATTTGAAATGTTCGTATTAGTGGAATGCCGTAAAGTGAAACGCCGTAAAGTGTGGCCCTACTGTATAAGGCACACTTTTCCTCCCCAAAAAAGTCTTGGAAAAATCATCCTGTGCCTTATATGCTCTAGGTCAGGGTCAAGGGTAGGCTTTGTGTTACACTTTAGCAGTTGTTTACTAAAGTTATGTTACAACTGCTTGGAAACATCATCTAATATGTCTCTTATACTCGTGTGCCTTATATGCCGGAAACTATGGTAATCTGTAAAATTGTCTTGCTACTATATATATTTCCTACATTACATTCCTTGCTCTATAAATTCTGCATAATTAACAAATCAGAATTTAAGAAAATTCCTTCACATTTTAGCCTTGAGAGAAGAATACTGTAAGTACATCCATGTACTACTTACAGATTATTCTTGTGCATTACTATTTTCCTTCACATTTCAAGTGAAAGCACAGTACAATGTACTGACATGATCCTGATTACTCTGCATTATGTCAAGCATTGTGTCTATTTTTTGTAAAGTATTCTTGACCAATAATTCCATAGATCTTCACGAATTCTTATTTTCATACCATATACGGCTATGCTCTAAAGTTTGTACACTTTCTAATTTGTGATAGCAGTTATTATACAAAGATTTAATTTTTGTTGGTTCTTCCAGAGGAAACAGCAAGTATCATTATTATGGCATCCGTGTTAAGCCAACATCTCCGCTCGTTAATATAAACGACGATGGCAGTCCTGTCTCATTGCGGCAGCAGTCCTCAGCAGCTCATGTCAAGAAAAACAGCCAACAGCAGCTTCAGCAGCAACAGCAACAAAGTCAGGGTGTACAAAATCAACAAGGAAAGGGTGTAACATCGAGTATGCAGAAGAACAGTGACACTCACTATGATTCGCACACTCAGGTCCCTGCTGAAGCTTCCCCACAGGTAAGTAAAGGAACCACCTCCTTAATATAATGACTGTATTATGTTTATCATTTTAATGGGAAAGAACTAAGAGTGGAAGGATCATACAGCATCAGGGGAATGTGAGGAAGGAAGTGGTAGCTCCAGTCTTCGGATGACAAGCACTATACACAAATAACCCGCACATAAAAGAGAGAAGCTTACGACGACGTTTCGGTCCGACTTGGACCAAGTTGGACCGAAATGTCGTTGTAAGTTTCTCTCTTTTATGTGCGGGTTATTTGTGCATCGTTCCAGTCACGGTATTGTGCGTTTTTGTTATTTATGACAAGCACTTCAGTAGTATCAAGACTCCCCTTTGAAGGGTTCTTTACCTTGGACATGGTTACCATTTTATTATAATTCCAGTAGTTTTGTGCTGATCAGACTTCTAATACAGTATACAGATTTGTAAATACAGTGTCCTTAATGTGAAAACTTCGACTCTGCTCATAATCATAAGTCATTTAGGTTTTGTATTACAATCTCTTGCATATCAGTTGTTCTGATTTAGAATTTCTATATCTTTCAGACACTTCAAAACCAGCAGTACCTTGGTGATATTAGCCAAGTTGTTCCTATGTTTGGGGAAGTAGATTTTGGCACCACACAGCTGCCAGCCGGGGTAACAAGACCTCACCTTCACACCTTCACTGTACTCTACAGGGAACATTGTGAAACTATTTTGGAAGCTATATATAATCTACAGGTAATTTCATGTTTTGATATTACAGTGGTCCCTCGTTGTTTGTAATTAATCCGTTCCTGGAGCCGTTACTGTAAACGAAATTTACGATTTACGAATCAATTTTCCCCATAAGAAATAATGTAAATATAATTAATCCGTTCCTGACACCCAGAAGTATTAAAACAAAAATGTTTTTAACATGAAATATGCATGTAGTACATAAACAATACAATGGGAAATGATGAATGAAACATTAACAGCATAACACTTACCTTTATTGGAGATTCTTCTTAGTGTATGGGAGACTGGAGGAGGAGAGAGAGTGGATTGTTTATAGTTTGGAAGGGGAATCCCCTTCCATCAACACCTCAGGTACCATTTGCTTTTCTGGGGTTGCTTCTCTTCTCTGTTTCTTAATGCCGCTAGGACCACCTTGAGAGTCACTGGAGTCCTGTCTCACAAAATAACTGGAGAGAGCTCTGTTTCTGGCGTCTCTTTAACACTTCCCTAAAATGGCCCAAGACTTTGTCACTGTACATGTTGCCAACCTGGCTTGCAACAACCTTGTTAGGGTGATGTTTCTCCATAAAGCTTTCCATCTTACCCCACATAGTAAAAATCTCTTTAATTTCTGAAGAAGGCACCTTCTTCCATCTCTCTTCCTCCACCTCCGCAGCAAGATTCTGAGCTGCGATGTGTTGCTCTTCCTGCTGAAGCTCTTGCAGCTCCTCAGTGGTGAGCTCTTCATTGTGGTCTTCACCAATTCTTCTACATCCTCCAAACTCACATCCAATCCCATGGAACTCCCCAGTGCCACAATTGATTTTACAACAGACATAGGCTCATTAGGGTCAGTCCCAAATTCTTCAAAATCCCTCTTGTCGACACAATCTGGCCACTCGCTTCACCACTATTTGCAGGCAATTTCTTTACCAAATCTTCATGCAACTGCCTAGCCTTTTCACAAATAAACGAAGTCATAAGAGTATCTTCTGCTAATTGTTTCTCATTTATCCACACCAATAATAACTTCTCAACCTCTTCCAGTACTGGTGATCTCATTTTTGTTAGCATAGTTACTCCCTTTGCAACAACAGCATCCTTTATTTCATTTTTCTTGGCCGCTATGGAACATAAGGTTGTGTAGGGTTTCTTATACATCCTGGACAGTTCGGCCACACTTGTACCACTTTCATATTGTTCAATGATGGTTTTCTTAAATTCAATCATATTTCTCACCTTCTTTACCACAGGCTTGGCACTAGGAGCTTTCTTTGGAGCCATGGTAGCTTATTTAGTACTTGCAAGCACTAAAATAAATGGAATATTATGAAATATTTCGCTGGAGCACGTGAGGGGACCTTCGCTCACTGGTAAACAATGCCAGACTGGCTGCCGCCCTGGCTCACGCCGTGGGTACGCGTCCCGGACGAACTACGACTCGCAAGTCAACCTATGAAAAGCGAGTCCATGTTTATACGAAAATACCTCTATGATTGGCGAATTTTACGATTGCCGGGAACTACGAAAAGCGGGGGACCACTGTATTATTATTATTACTACCTTGCTCACACTCCAACAGTTTGTCAAGTCCCATAAATATTTTTCTCCACTCACTTCTGTGTAGGCATGTTAGAAAGCAAATGGTTTTTGGGACTTGACAAGCTGGTGGAGCATGAGCAGGATAACATTTTATGAAGGGATTCAGGGAAACTGATTAGCTAGACTTGAGTCCTGGAGGTGAGAAGTACATTACATGCACTCTGAAGGAGTGGGGGATATCTGCATTTTGGAAGGGCATCTGAGCTATAGTATCAGCATGCCTCAGGCAAGACAGTGAGAGAGTCAATGATGGTGAAAGTGTTTCTTCCTCCGGGTCACCTTGCCTCAGTGGGAGATGGCCGATGTATTAATTTTTTTTTTTTAACACACTGGCCATCTCCCACCGAGGCAGGATGACCTGAAAAAGAAACACTTTCACCATTATTCACACTATCACTGTCTTGCCAGAGGCAAGTAATCAGATTTGATCTGAAAAATGAGAAGTTAGCTCCAGTTCCTTTGTCAACAGTGAGATCAAGAGCCTTTTACCAGCATCTAGGTATTCACTGTTGAAGGGTGTTTATATATTTAAGTTTAATTTTAAGATAATTTGCCATATTTGTTACTGTGCAAGACAGGTATACAATACCGACAAGATGAAAGTTAAGACACTTGTGCAACATCTGGTTATCTTTATTGTAGACGTCTACAATAAAGATAACCAGATGTTGCACAAGTGTCTTAACTTTCATCATATTTGTTACTGCATAGCATTGTTTTAGAATTATAAATTAGCTGGTAGAGTGGTTGCTATATAGTTTTTCTTGTATTATTTAGCTTAATGTTTTAACTTGTGTTGCATTTCAGTTAGTCTTCCACAATACATTTTTTTTTATTTTTTTTTATTCAACAAGTCAGCCGTCTCCCACTGAGGCAGGGTGACCCAAAAAAGAAAGTAAATCCCCAAAAAGAAAATACTTTCACCATCATTCAACACTTTCACCTCACTCACACATAATCACTGTTTTTGCAGAGGTGCTCAGAATACAACAGTTTAGAAGCATATACGTATAAAGATACACAACATATTCCTCCAGTAATGCACTGCATTCTAGTGGCTTTCTTTTGTGCTTAACAATATTTTATTAAATGTAAATTACATTACCTCTATACAGTAGGACCCCTGCCATGGATACCGAAACCACAAATACATAGTAGCAAACCCTATATATAAGTCCTATACATACCTATTATAAAGTTTGATAAATTATTACTCTTTTAATGATGTGAAACACTTCATGGCTTCTCTTAGGCTTTGAAGACCTGCCAGCTTCTTTACTTCTGTGCTTTGGGTCCATTATTATGCAAAATTAAGAGGTATTTTTGGGCCACAGTAAACTGTGGATAACTGAAACCACGGATACCGAATCAGTGGATACTGGGGTTTTGCTGTGCTGCAGAAAATACATAAATTTATTATTATTATTATTATTATTTTAGACACTTGTATAAGACGATATGTACTTAACATTCCTGAAAATGGCATCTTACTAAAAAATATACCATGAAAATTGAAAAATACATAGGGAAAATAGGGTTTGTTCATAAGTTTACTAGGAATGCTAGGCTTTTTTAAATATCTTATTTTGTCAAAAATAATGAAGTTTTTGAAACCTTATATTGTAGATGATGTTGCTTGTATGTCAAAAACTATATGTTGTGTGCCCAAATTCTGAATAAAAACTTAGTTATTAAATAAATTCACTTAATGTTCAGGTAAGATACTGTTTGATGATTGTTTTTTACACAGTACACAATCTATCCTTCCAGAGAAAATGGGCATGTTACTCCTCTCAGAGAAAATGGAGAAGGCTTCCAATGACTACTTTAAATTTAATACACAGTCTTATGAGTACAAAATATGTAAAAAATGTAGCCAGAAAGAATATTTCCTACCTTAAATTTTTTGCTTCATTTGCTTGTAGATTTAGAAGTGTTTGGAGATGGTTATGTAACTCAACTGAGTAATACACAGCTGTGGGTCATCTGTTGTATTAGCTGAAGCCTCTTATACATTTCACAACATTTTTCTAAATTATAATAGTAACAAAAAAAAAAAAAAAGAATTTTATCCTTCCTTATTGATAAAGAAATGTTTGGAAATGGTTTTGACTACTGAGCTGTACATGGCTGCAAGACACCCAATTGTTTTATCAACAATGCTGTCCTATATGTACAATTTTTACAGCATCCTATACAAATTCATGATACAATTTCTCAGTTGTCATATCGTGAAAATATGATATAGAAATGTGTCTTATACATGGATCTACTATACTTTAGTCTTCCACAGTGTTCTTGCACTGTACTTTCACACCAGTATGCTTGGGATAAATACTATGCATAGTGCAATGCTGGTAGTGTAATGAAGATTTATTATTATTATTATACTTTAGGGGAATGCACCAGACCCAGAGGGGGTCAAAACAGTGCCTGGGCATGACAAGCCTGGCCCAGGGCCAGGCTGTGAGAGTAAGAAAAAGCTCAAAATCCCTCAAAGCTTCAGCTGAAGGAAGGGAAGGACAAGTCCAAGACTAGTCAATGAAAAAGGGCCTCAATTAGAGGCTGACATATAAAGCATATCTTTATTTCTTCTTTCGTTTAGGTTTCTCTATTTCCATAATGTACATTGAAAGTCTCTAGTACAAGCATTATATTTCTGAACTTTAATAAAATGCCTTCAACAGTTTAGCCTTTTTTTTTTTGTATTTATACCTCTCAACCACTCACAAAAGTTTGGCATAATACCCCAAATTTGGTGTAATACATTTAATTACATCTTAGCCCTACCTGACAATATCAAAACTTTGCTTTCATGAACAACATTATTCAATAAAGATAGCTTCAGCAAGGATTCTAAAGTAATAAATTAGAGGGAAACAGAAAATGCAGATAAGAAAAGAAGTATGTAAAATGTACACAGTACTCACATTTTGAGATTCTATATAAAAAAAGCAGAAAAGTTTCATACGAAAAATAAAGTGGTAGAAATCTCTCCTTCTGTGTTTAATTTTCACATCATTACTAGAATATTACATAGTGGTTCACAATATTTTTCTATAACCCACTTCATTTCTCGTTGTTTTTAGTGACTACCCTTACCTCAAAGTCTATTAAATGAAATGTCTAGATAATTTTTCCTCACAAAGCAGTCAGCTTAAGGTATTACTTTTATAATAGTCCATTGTATTGTCTTTCCTTTCTGTGTAACAGTTTTCGATGGTGGAAAGCTTATGGAGACGATTCTGGATGGTAAATAACAACAACACTGTGGCTAGTGTGGCTAAATCTTCATCAAGTGAGGTGTCTGATGATGACGACGGAGACCTGGCTTCATTACTACCAGCATCTGTCCTTCAGGTGAGTCTTACAAGGATATTGCTCTATATGACAAGTACTGTACCAGTGCAAATGTTTGATAAATATTATTTATGACTTTTAAATGGATTTGGAAGTACAGTATTAACCCTTTCAGGGTCAAGACCCCCCCTGCTCTCAGATTTGCTCTCAGAATTGCAAAATTTAAAAAAAAAAAAAATTGTTTTTTTTATGAAATGGTAGAGAACCTTTTTTCTGAAGGTAATGAAACAAAAAGTACAAAATTTGATGGAAAACTGACAAAATTACTCTTTCGTGAATTTTGCTGTCATCGATATTTACGCATTGGCGATTTCATCCACTTTGAGTCCGATTTTAAGCCAATTCAATTGTTCCAATTCTTAGCTATTTCACTAGTATGTCTTTCACTCTATCAGTTGAGTACAAGAAACTGCCCATTCAACTATTTAAACTACCCAGTAAAGTGATCAGAAATTGGTAATTTGGCCAATTTCACACAAAATTCAAGAAGTGTCAGTTTCAATATAGATTCCAGAATAAACAATGCAGACATTACTGACACTAAAATAACATTTTATCTGTTCATTAGTGATCTCTCCAGGCCTCTCTTATGTTACGCTTGCTTTCCATTTTGAATTTTTATTTACATAAAAAATGGAAGATTTACTGTTATGGAGTTTACTGCATTATTGTAATAATTGTATAAATAATGTCAGTTCATTTCTAAATGCGTATTAGACTGACCAGTTAGACTCTTATCGGACAAATGATGTCATTTGTGTACTCTGGAATATTGGCAAAAATCAAACATTTCCACTACTTTGAGCTCAATTTGAAGCTACTTTCAGTTCTTAAACCAATCAGAATAATCTCTGTTTGCTGTAATTTATCTTCCATTCTATCAAATGAGACCAAGAACACAACCATAAAACCCATAGGAAAATACACTGCAAAGTCACTGTTTTAAACCTGCATGCTGCAGAATTTTTTTATATGGTGCACCTTTACTGCATAGACCCATTCTCTCACATCTAGGCCCAAATTTACTACTCACAGCTTATCTGAGTGAGCTGAGCTCATGGCATAGTACTATGGGATCGACCGACCGTTTTCAAAGCTGTAGTACAATGGGACCGACACCAAAAGGGTTATTAACCCTTAAATGGTCCAAACGTATATATACGTTTTTTCAACATCTGAAAGTATGTAAAAAAATGTAGATCTTCTTTTTTGTTTTACATTTGGAAACGTGTAAAAAAAATTTTTATCTACATTTTTTTATTACTACATTTGAGAATATGTAGAAAAAAGTAGATCTACTTTTGTAGCACTACGAATTTGAACGTCGATTTGTTTGGACCGTTTAAGGGTTAAAACCTAACACAGTAACACACATGTATATTGTACAACCCATGTAGGTTTAGCACTTCTATATTTATGTAATACATGTATTGGTTGAAACAGACACTCCATGGATAAGCAGAAAAAAATTCTTCCTCTGTAAGCCATACGTGTCATAAAATGCTAGGGGCAAGAGGCTAGTAACCCCTTCTTTTTCAGGTCATCCTACCTTGTTGGAAGACAGCTGGTGTGTTAAAAAAAAATACACAAATGCAGAGTAAAACTTTATTAAGATATTTTGCCTGTACAACAGGTTTCTTCAAGTCAGTATAAAATAATATACAGCAATCGTATTTATAATAGTATGAGGCCAGCTGTCAGCAGATGAGTAGTTCAAATTCAAATTCAAAGTTTATTCTCTATAAGGATTACAATGCTGAGTTTACAGAATTTGGTTATTGTGTGGTTTACATGTAGTAAAATAATAGTTACAGAGTGTACCACTAGAACGCCTAGCATGGCTAGGCATTTCGGGCAGACTTAAATTAAATCTTAAGTTTAAAATATTACAAAATTATGAGGTAAGTTGGTATTATGGCTAAGTGACTAAATACTAGTTTGTGAGTTTAGCAATGTGAATGCTTTTGTTTTGGCACTATACATAGTTTCAGTATTGGAGTATCACAGGCCAACTTATGTCTAGTTAAGATTCATTATTTTGAGATTGAGATTCATATTTCAGTTTATGGTCAAATGGGTGAGTGAGTGTAAGTGTTAACCACCAGGTGGTATTCGTGTAATTAGTTGACAGGGTGTATCAGGGAGATAAGATGTTTTCTGATGGTAGTTTTGAAGGTGATGAATGTGTCTGCAGTTTTAGAATTTTCAGGTAGGGTGTTCCAGATTTTAGGGCCTTTGACATACATTGAATTTTTGTAGAGGTTTAGTCGGACACGGGGAATGTCATAGAGATATTTGTGTCTGGTGTTGTGCCTGTGGGTTCTGTCACAACTATCAAGAAAGCATTTTAGGTCAAGATTAATATTGGAATTTAAGGTCCTGTAGATGTAGATTGCACAGTAGTAAGTGTGGATGTACTGAACAGGGAGTAAGTTTAGATCTATGAAGAGTGGGGGGGGGTGTTGCCAGGGATGGGATTTAGTGATTATTCTTACTGCGGCTTTTTGTTGGGTTATTATTGGCTTTAGGTGTGTTGCTGCAGTTGAACCCCAAGCACAGATAGCATAGGTGAGGTATGGATATATAAGTGAATGGTATAGTGTGAGAAGGGCAGTTTGCGGCATGTAGTATCATATCTTGGAGAGGATCCCAACCGTTTTGGATACTTTTTTGGTTATGTGTTGGATATGGGTGCTGAAGTTCAGGTTGTTGTCGAGGTATAGGCCTAGGAATTTGCCCTCATTATGCCTGGCAATTAGAGTGTTGTCAATCTAAATGTTAATTTGCGTATCTCCTGCTCTGCTACCAAACATAATGTAGTAGGTTTTGTCAGTGTTAAGCGTAAGTTTATTGGCTGTCATCCAAGTCGATATTTTGATCAGCTCCTTATTAACAATGGTGTTGAGGGTGGCAAGATTAGGGTGAGAGATGACATAAGTCGTGTCATCAGCAGAGACTGGGGTTCAGGTGTTGAGATACGTTTGGAAGATCATTGATGTATATGAGGAAGAGCAGGGGACCAAGGACACTTCCCTGCAGAACTCCATTACCAAGTGGCTGTGTTGTTGATGCTGTGTCTTTAATGGTGACATACTGATACCTATTAGTAAGGTAAGATTTGAAATATGCAAGTGCATGGCCTCTTATACCATAATGGTCAAGTTTATGAAGTAGGATGCCATGGTCTACTGTGTCAAAAGCTTTTCTTAGGTCAGTAAAATTTCCTAGTGGATATTCCTTATTTTCCAATGCTGTGTAAAGCAGATCTAGCCTTTTTATGATTGCATCGTTAGTGCTTTTATTTTTCCTGGGTGTAAGATCTTGGTGTTGGTGACAATATATAGATGAGATGTCCCAGTCTGGCAACTAGGATACAAGAGCACCAGTATGCATGTAGAATGCATTACATGAGTAATGAATGTGTATACACAGATTACCTTGAATTAATTCTTAGACAGTTTTAACAATGTTTTACCTGTGATCAGTTTTGAGGGCTCTTCTATCCCTGGATCCCTGCCTGAGGCTAGGCTTTCCAGTTGCCTGACTGTGCAAGCAGTTTACAGGCCCACATAGCTATTACACTCTGGTTGATATGGCAAGTGTAGAAGAAAGTTGTCCAGTGTTTTGAAAACTTTTTTCATTCCTACAGTATTTCTGCTGTCTGCTGTTGAGGAATCATGAGCCATGGATGTTGACACATTCTCTTCAGTTGTAGCCATGGCTCCCCTGCTTTTTATTTGAACATTTCCACTTTTTTTTCATAGCCAGTAGGTTATTATAGCAGCGTGTGGATTAGGGACCAGGTCCTGAAGCATCTTCCTTGTAATGGTATATAAACCGTATATAAAATCAAGTATCTCTCTTCTCCATTCCAGAGAGAGAAATCCAAGTGCTTTTAATCATTCCCAATAGTTTAGAGGTTTTATTGATTTAGTGTGAACAGCATATAACCTCTATATATTTTCCTGTACTTCTATCTTTTTGGCCTTGAGAGATGTGAGTACAGAACAATATTCAAGTCAGGAGAACACAAATAATTTGAAAAGTATCATCATTTGAAAGTTTTCTGTATGACAGGTCCTTTGATATAATTATTCCTAAATATTTTACCTGTTCCTTACATTCTATGATATGGTCTGCCTGTGTTCTATGGTATATACTGTGCTTGTTTTGAGGTCTTCATTCTTCCCCTACCAAAGTACAATACATAGTTAAAATTTGAAGATCATATTACATATTTTCCTTTGTCCATTGGAAGACTTGTTTGATATATGTGTGGTGTTTTTGTCTTCTACTGAGATGATATTCATACTTAAGAACATAAGAAGAAGGAACACTGCAGTAGGCCTACTGGCCCATGAGAGGCAGGTTCGGGTCTCCTACCAGCTTAAGCCAATGATCCAACCTAATCAGGTCAGGTCACATCCACTTAAGGAAGGAGCATGGCATCAGACCTATTAGCACAAGCTAGTCAGGTCCAACTCACACCCACCTACACCCACTCATGTATTTATCTAACCTATTTTTAAAACTACACAACATTTTAGCTTATATGATGGTGTTCAGGAGTCTGTTCCACTCATCCACAACTACAGTGGACCATCGGATAACGACACATTTTTGCGTCAAAATATTGGCCTGGTTAACAACAAAGAACTCAGTTAAAGTCATTCGTCCCGAACGTGTTTTCGCGGCCTGAGTGGCCTGGCCACTCCATGTACAGCCAGTGTGTCATTGTTTACAAGCCAGTGAGGACGATTCCACACATACATGCGATACATTTTGTATTATTCCATTTTTTTAATGCTTGTAACTGCTAAATAAGCCACCTTGAGCCCAAAGAAAGCTTCTAGTGCCAGCCCTTTGGTAAAGAGGGTGAGAAACACTATAGAATTAAGAAAAAGTTGGTAGAAAGATACGAAAGTGGTGGTGGTAGAGGGTGGTAGTGACGGTGGTACACCAGCCAGGGTACTTCCCCACACACCAGCCAGGGTACTTCC